CAGTGATCGGAATGCTTTCCTCCTCAATACTGCACTGGAAAAACCCACTGACCGAATCCAGCGTACTGAAGATTTTCGATTTGTTTAATTCCGTCAAATTATCCTCCACTATCGGAATGGGCAGTTTCGGGATTACACTCATTGTATTGATGCGCTTGTAGTTGGCCGTCGACCGTACGCCACCGTTAGCCTTCGCGACTACCACCAGCGGACTCGCCCAATTGCTGTACGATCTCCGCAACACACCCGCCAACAGCAACTTGTCAATTTCGATCTGCACCTTTTCGTTCATACCCGGCGAATAGCGATATGGCCTCTGCCGCACTGGTTGTGCCCCCGGCTTCAAAATGATTCGAAACGGATCCACCGTCACCCGTCCTAAATCCGAACCACCCTTCGAAAAACGATGCTCAAACTCGCACAATAATTCATCACCTAGTTTGTCGATGTCCTCCGGCTCCCACAGTTTCGCATTGAAGTCGAAATGGACATCTCGAATGTGCGGAGACACCCTCTGCCACAACCGCCTGAACGCCACCTGTTGCGCCCCAGCCCCATTCAAAGAAGACATCTAACATCAGCGGGAGGTTCGTCGTCTAGGCATGTCAGCCTCTTCACCCTCCTGAACCGCACATACATTTTTGAAGTCCTCATTTCCCACCAAACGAGCATCATCCAGGTTTTACCACCTCCAGGGGTTCACCGCCATACCCGTATTAACCGACCCCTTTTTGGCACCATTTCGACCAACAGTGTGCTCCGCTTGAGGGTCCAGCAGACTCCTCACTGCTTTCGGAGAATTTGCCTTGCGCATTTCATTCCTTTGAGTGTTCAACGCATTCCCCACTGGTTTTGCGTTGTCATTGACATTTCCTATTGTGTCAATGCTAAACTTCGTTTGATCTGACGAAGGGGGCGTGTTCGGCACCCCTACTTGTGGAAAATCCCTGTGTGTCTTACTAGTGATTGTTTCCTGAAGCTGTGCACGTGCATCTTGCGAAAAACTACGACCAAAAATTTCTTGCGGGGGCCTTTCCCAATACATTCTTGCTCCCACGGCCTGCACCCGTGCAGTTCATTTTATCAGCACCCGAAACCACTTGCAGTTTGGGATAATTACTTCCACCCTGCTTGGAATACATCTTAGATGCTGAAAAATGTCCCTTACCGTGGTTGGACGCGACGCTCCCCGTCGCCAGGCCGTCACCCTCGGTGTTGTGCACCACCGATCGGCCCGCCTCCTCCTCTACAATCCCACCCTCCGAGTCGTCTTCGATGTACTCGCGTGATGATTGTTTTCTCTGTACCCCAGCCCCCGAGTCTGTTTTGATCCCGGTCCTTGGCTCTGCTTTCTTCCCTTCTGCCCGCGATAGTTCTTTTGGTCATCACAATACCCGGGACCTCCTTCACCCTGCACCATCACCCCTCGAGATCCCTTTTTAATCTCGCAATACTTTTCACCCCTTTCACCCTTCACCTCTTCCTCCCTTTTCTCTTCCCTCTCTGCCTGATCACCCACAAGCAATTCGGCCAAGGTGCTACCGGCAAGCTGACCAACTGACCGTCGCACCATCAGTTATTCCTCTCCCTCCTCCTCTCCTCCATTCGATGTGCTTGCCACTGTTTCAGACGATTCAACCACCGATCCCATCTTGCCTTGACGTCGGCCTTGGACCCGTTTGCCAAACTTCGGTTCAACATATTTGAGGCGCTAATGTAACCCTTGTCACAATCCCGCGCAAAGTGTCCCTCACTACCACAGTTCAAACACCGTGACCCGAACGCCCGCCCCCTGACCCTGTCCTTCCTCCTCCATCCCTTCTCTGTCCCTGCCTCCCCCCAGAGGAACCCTTCACCTGAGCCATCCTTCGCGTCGGAGTCGTTGCCCCCCCCTCGACCGCCTCGAAACTTCGCACTTCATGCATCAAGGTGTCGATGTGATCGAACGTCACCACTCCCAACTCCTTGCCCCTAAACACGCAAGCGGTCAGAACACTGTCTTGATCGGACACACTCTCTCCGACTGCCAGTTGAATTGTGTTATCCTGCGGCGTCACAATTCCCAAGTTCCGAACACTGTGCACCAACCCCTGCAAGGTAGTCAAGTACTCACCATACGGCGTTCCAGTCGGTACCGCTAAGGTCTGCAAGTCGTACACCAATTTCTCGGGCAAGGATGAACTCACTACCCTCCCCAACGCCGAAGTCAAGAATGCCAACGCCTTCCTACCCGTTGACCTTTCTTCCATCTTCTTCGATGTATCTGAAAAGATCTTGTCTATCTTTTCGCGGAACGTCATCGTCGGGGCAGGGGACATGGATCGGGTGATGGAAGTGATCAGATGTCTGTGCACAGGTTTTTCCCATCCTGGCACCCACCATCCACTGTAGTCCTCCACCGCCAAAAACACATCGTTGACCGTATCTTCCAACCTTCTTTTGAAATAAACCAGCTCTCCCGGCGAATCAGGGAGTGGTATCCAAGGAAGCCTAGTCCAATCCTTCATGTTCATCGTCACGTAACCCGTCATGATCTTTTTTTTCGCCCTCGAGGTCAACGGCTGGATCGTGACGCTCTCCGGTTCTTTCTTAACCGTCGCTACCGTCGATGAGAGAGACACAACATCTTCCTGCTCAAGATTGACAGGCGACACCCCCCTTGCAGCCACACTAGGTTCAGATGCGACTGCCGATGCACACGCTTGAGGTTTTTCGTCCGTGTCCTGGAGGCGCACCTGCCTGAACTGACCTCCCATTTCAGCCAACTTCTGCTTCAGGGTTTCGATTTCCTTCTCTTTGTTCGACAACTCTTTCTGGAACTCCGTTTTGAGCTTGTCATCAACGGGTGT